GCCAAGGACATGGTGACCAGCAAGGTGACAGAGGCTGTGGATGTCACTAAACATGTGGTGGAGGACAGTGTGGACAGGACAAAATCTGCTGTTGCTTCTACCATTGTCAATGCTGTGGAGGCTGCCCAGGGAGCCAAGGAGCTGGTGGCAGACAAGGTGACCAAGGCAGTGGACCTCAGCAAGCACATTGTAGAAGACAGTGTGGACATGACCAAGTCTGCTGTTGCTTCCACCATTGTCAACGCTGTGGAAGCTGCCCAAGGAGCCAAGGACCTGGTGGCCAACAAGGTGACAGAGGCCGTGGATGTCACCAAACACATGGTGGAGGACAGTGTGGACAGGACCAAGTCTGCAGTTGCTTCCACCATCAGTGCAGCTGTAGGGGCTGCCCAAGGTGCCAAGGAGCTGGTGACCACCAAGGTGACCGAGGCAGTGGACCTGACCAAAGGGGCTGTTCAAGATAGTGTTGAGAAGACCAAATCTGTGGTCACCTCTACAGTCAGTACAGCTCTGGATGCTGCCTATGGCACCATCTCGAGCAAGATAAGCACAGCCCTGGAGCAGAGCAGGGAGGCCCTCCAGGGGGGCGTGGAGATGACCAACTCAGTGGTGACCAACAGCATAAGCAAGGCCAAGGCAGTGAGCCAGGCAGTGGCTGGTGGTGTGGAATCTGTGCTGGGGATGTCAGAAGATCTGGTGGATCACTTCCTCCCGATGACAGAGGAGGAATTAGGTAAAAAACTACTTACTTGGCGGCTCTAAATGCAAATCCTTTCCCACGTGACTAGAGAGCACCTGACACAGCAAGACTCAGCTTGTGAAGCAGACAGGTAGCTCTGAATTTGCCAACACCAAATTGCCACATGGTATAGGACAGAGTTCAAGCATTTATTGATCCTTGACCATCAGCCTCAAGGTAAATAAACACATGGGTTCACGCTTCAACCTCTCCATCAAGTCTGCTTTTCTGAAGAGAACATGTTGAGCAGGGACTGCCTTTAACACCTGAGCGACCACAAACCTCTCCTGTTCCCACAGCAACCCTCCTGTTCTCCCACGGGTGATCTGACCTCTCCCACCTCCTCACAGCTGGGGGAATGAAGCCCAGCTGCATCTCTGTTCTTGTTTCCTCCAGGTAAACTGGCCACCAGCGTGGAGGGGTCTGGGATGGTTTCCGTGGAGGAGCAGAAAGAGCAGCGGAGTTACTTTGTGCGCCTGGGGTCCCTGTCCAGCAGAGTCCGGCTCAGAGCCTACCAGCTCTCCCTCCACAAGCTGCAGTGCATCAGGCAGAGCACCCAGGACACCCTCTCACGACTACAGATGGCAATAAAACTGGTACAAACACGCTTTCCCCCCTTTCCTCCTGTCTGTAGCCTTCCTGCCCTGCTCTCCAGCTGGAAGCTCTTCCTCCACCCTGCACCAGCTACGTGTCACCTTGGATCCCTCCCTGGGAGGGGAGCACTTGTGCCTCTCTGTGTGTGCTTGCAATACAGCTGTTCCTCTCATTTTTCCCATCAGATTGAATCTGTGAAACAGGGATTTGGCCAGAAGCTGCTGGAAGGGCAGGAGAGGCTCCATAAGCTCTGGGTGGAGTGGTGCCTGACACAACCCAAAGGAAACCAAGTTCAAACTGCCTGCCAGCCAGAGGTATCCCTGGAAGGTGTATGTGACCTGGCCTCAGGTGGCTGGTGGCCATCCCACCTGCTCTGGTAACTGAGCTGTCTCTCTCCCAGCAGGTAGAGTCCCGGACTCTAACTATGCTGAGGATCATCACCCAGCAGCTACAGCCTGTCTATGAGAACCTGAAAACCAGCATCCAAGGCCTCCCCAACAACGTCCAAGAGGCTGTGTATCAGGCCACTCGAAATATCCACAAGCTCCACAGCTCTTTTTCCAGTGCCATGTCTTTCCAGGACCTCTCCAGCATCACCCTGAGGCAGAGCCAGGACCGTGCGACAGAAGCCCGGAGGTCCCTCGATGTCCTGTTTGAGTATGTCACTCACAGCATCCCTCTGAACTGGCTCGTGGGACCCTTCAGGGCCATGGCTGAGGTGGCACAGGGCAGCAGAAAGCAGAAGAGGAGAGAGGTGGTGACTGATGGAAAGTTACCCCTGTTGGAAAAGGCTCCGGCATCACAGGGGGTGACTGAGACACCCAGAGAGCCCGAGGGAACCAACAGGATCCTAGGGCAATGGTATGGAGTGCTGGAGAAGCTGGAGGAGAAGGCAGGGAAGTGGGAGGAGAAGGCAGAGAAGCTGGAGAAGGAAGCAGGGAAGCTGGAGGAGGAGGTAGAGAAGGTGAAGGGAGCAGGGCAGCTGGAGGAGGAGGCAGGGAAGATGAAGAAGGCAGAGAAGCTGGAGGAGAAGGCAAGGAAGGAGGACATGGAAGCAGGGCAGCTGGAGGAGGAGACAGGGAAGGTGAAGAAAGCAGGGAAGCAGGAGAAGGGAGCAGGGAAGCTGGAGGAGGAGGCAGGGAAGATGAAGAAGGCAGAGAAGCTGGAGGAGGAGGCAGGGAAGATGAAGAAGGCAGAGAAGCTGGAGGAGGAGGCAGGGAAGGTGAGGAAGGCAGGGAAGCAGGACATGGAAGCAGGGCAGCTGGAGGAGGAGACAGGGAAGCTGAGGAAGGCGGAGAAGCCGGAGGATAAGGCAGGGAAGATGAAGAAGGCAGGGAAGAGGGAGGGGAAGGCAGAGAAGCTGGAAGGGAAGGCAGGGAAAGTGAAGAAGGCAGGGAAGCTGGAGGAGGAGGCAGAGAAAGACACAGGTGGCACTGGCTGCAAGGGAGATAAAAACTAGAACACCAGAAGAAGGTCTCTGATAAATTCCAGCTCTTCTGGCCGAGGCTCCCTGGTTAGAACAGCCCTTGATGTTTTAGTCGTGTGTCCAGTTGTGCCACAAGTGCCTCCTGCTCTGAGTTTGCAGTCAGATGCAGTTGCCAGGAGATATAATAACCGGGGGGGGGGGGGGTTGTGTATCTTGATTTACTGTTTTTAAATCACTGCTGCTCTGAAAGGGAAGATGGGGACCTGCACTTCAGCTCTTTGTCAGCCCAGCTGCCCGTGTGAGCGGCTGATTCTTGCTGAGACAAGCTGTGGCAGAGAAGAAGTCGTCTCAACTCATTTTTTTTTAACGTTGGATTTGTTTTTAATTCACCCAAGCCGTGGAAAACTCGAGAAGATGCTGAGCTGGGCTTTTGATGCCGTTTCCCGCCTTCTGCGAGTTTAAAAATACCCGGCACAGCCACGACACTTCCTCTGTGCCTCTTGTGCTTCCGGGGAGGCTCGGCAGGATGTGGCACATCTGGCACAGCTGGAGCTGCTCATCACTAAGAGATTTCTCTTCAGGGATCACCCAAACACTTCTTCCTTCACGGAGAAACACTCAGTAGGGGGGGGTTTTCTTTAATCACCACGGTTTTTAGGGGTTTGTCTTTCCTAAAGTTCAGTGACTGACTCCAGGGGTCGTTATTGTGTAACTCCAGGCCTGAAACACTTCACAACCACTAAGATGGCAAACAAGGCAGCTTTTCCCAGGAGTTACTCTGCCATGGGATTAGGATATCCTGTTATTAAAAAGGGGGGAGCGGGGGAGTGTAGGTGCTGGTTCTTTCCCAGCCAACAATGCTTTGTAACAACTCCTAATATAATTTATTTTGGTAACTTGTGTTCTGTCATGGCCCCTGTGCTGGGGCTGCTGAGCAGACATCAGAATAAAGCGTGACCTGTGTTCAAAGACGTGCGGGTTTGTGTGAACCCAAAGCTGCAGTGTCGAGTTCTCCCCTTACCTGAGCTGCTTCAAAGTTTGCATTTTACCAAATCTCTTCTCTGGCCAGCTTGGTCCTGCTGGAGGGGAAAAAAAACCAAAGTGCTTTTAGCAGGTCCCATGCTCTCTTAAGCAGAAAAATATCTTAATTATTTTGTCCCCAAGACTTCTGCCTGAGGCTCAGGTGCTTCTGTTCATGTCCCACTCCTGTCTCCTCTCACCTCTCTGGATCCTGGGCTATCCAGCCTCACTCATCCCACTTCCAACACTTCCTAGAGGCAGTGCCCCCACTGCTCTGAATCCTCCCCACCAACAACTGCATTCTTATTGTGTATTTGCTACCAATATTTCTCTCTTAGACTCGCAGCTTCAAGTTTATTTTATTCCCCCTAAATTCACATTTCTTAGCTTTTAATCAGCATCCTCCACCAGTGTTAGTCAAGTGTTAGGAAATGTACCCAAACCCATGAATGACACCTGGACTAGATGTTTTCAAGTTCCCTTATGCATTGTCACCTTGAATTTATTAAGCTACTGACCGAGGGTTTTATTCAAGTTCTCAAAACATCTCAAGAGGAGCTCATATTTTGCCTTTTTGGTTTTGTTCTGTTTTTTTGTTTGTTTTGTTTTGGTTTTTTAATTAAATCTTTTGGTGTCACCTCCACGTTCTCAGGGGGTGGACACCGGGCAGGGCTGGTCCAGTCAGGGGAGGTGGCGGCTCACGGAGGGGCTGAGATGCTGCTGCTGGAGTCCCCTGGTCACCGAGACCTGGCCCTGGCCCCCAAGCCCTGGAGGAGCTGTCCCCTGTCCCGGTTCCCCGAGCCCCTGTCCCAGTCCCCAAGCCCTGGAGGAGCTGTCCCCTCGTCGCCGAGACCTGGCCCTGGTCCCCAAGCCCTGGAGGAGCTGTCCCCTATCCCGGTTCCCCGAGCCCCTGCCCAATTTCCAAGCCCTGGAAGAGCTGTCCCCTGTCCCGGTTCCCCGAGCCCTGGAGGAGCTGTCCCCTGGTCACCGAGACCTGGCCCTGGTCCCCAAGCCCTGGAGGAGCTGCCCCCTGTCCCGGTCCCCAAGCTCTGGAAGAGCTGTCCCCTATCCCGGTTCCCCGAGCCCCTGCCCAATTCCCAAGCCCTGGAGGAGCTGCCCCTGTCCCGGTCCCCAAGCCCTGGAAGAGCTGCCCCTGTCCCGGTTCCCCGGTCCCGCCCCGCTCCGCCCCGTTCGTGCCCATCGCCCCGCGCCGCTTCCGCCTGCCCCGGGCACCGGGACCGGCCGCAGGTAGGCTGATCCCTTCCCGGCTCATCCCTTCCCTTCCCGGCTGATCCCTTCCCTTCCCGGCTGATCCCTTCCCTTCCCGGCTCATCCCATCCCTCCCCGGCTCCCGCGGGGATCGGACCCGAGCGCTGCCCCCCCCTCCCCGCCCGCTCCAACTTCCGCGCTCGTTGGGCAATTGGAGGATTTTTATGAGAGCGGAAACGAGGAGACTGAAAGTAGAAAGTTTCCACAGTCGAGAGGTATTTGGGGGCAGTTGCTGGGGCTCCCTTTAAATAGGGAAAGTTCCTGCGGCAGGGAGAGTTCCTGCAGCAGTGCTCAGGCAGCGCCTGGAGCGGTGTCCCACCGGGAATCTGCTCCTCTGCTCCGGACGCTTCTGCTGTTTAATTAAACCCCGGTCAGAGGCCTTGGGTGAGTGCGGGGGCTCAGGGATCAGCTGAGGAGGGGGATACAATGTCCCCAGTCCCAGCTCTGGGGCCCCAAAACATCAGAAGGATGTGAAACCGCTGGAGTGAGTCCAGAGGAGACCATGGAGATGCTCCGAGGGCTGGAGCCCCTCTGCTCTGGAGCCAGGCTGGGATTGCTGGGGGGGTTCACCTGGAGAAGGATCCAGGGGGCTCCAAGGGAGACTTTGGACAGGGGGCTGGAGGGACAGGACAAGGGGGAATGGCTTCCCACTGCCAGAGAGCAGGGTTAGATGGGATATTGGGAAGGAATTCCCCCGGGAGGGTGGGGAGGCCCTGGCACAGGTTGGGCAGAGAAGCTGTGGCTGCCCCATCCCTGGAAGTGTCCCAGGCCAGGTTGGACAGGGCTTGGAGCAACCTGGGCTAGTGGAAGGTGTCCCTGCCCATGCCAGGGGGTGGGACTGGATGATCTTAAAGGTCCCTCCAAACCCAAACCACTCCACGATCAGCAGCCTGACAGGGGATGCACATGGATTATCAGGTGGAAAGGGTTTCCTCCAAGATTGTTTTATTCCTTGACTGCCAGCACAAGGAACCTGTGAGGCCCCTGGAACCAGCTGCCTGGAGGAGACGGACACACATTTACCTAAATGCATCACTATTTCAGCAATTATTTAAAACCAGTCACCATTAATGTGAAATGAATGTAAGGAACGTGCTCTTTGCTTATCACAGAGTGGGGATAATGCACGGAGCACTGGCACAGCTACAAGCACAGAACAGAGGCAAAAATACTTGCAAGCTGTGAGGGAGCATCTGGGAGTTCCACGAGCCTCGGGAGCATCCCCTCAGCTCCCCACATCACCCTCTCTGCATTGTCCTCTGTTCTCCTCACAGGTTCCCCAGGACAGAGATATCCCAGTTCCAAGACAAGCCCAAGACAGCAAAGAGCTCATGTGGTAGGAGAAGTGCACCTGGGACATCCCCGAGCCCCACATGGGAACAAACCTTTGCCATAAGATGATTTTCCCATCCCTGCTGCTTCATTCCATGCTCTGGGCCAGCAGCTGCTGAGATGGCACAGAGCACTGAGCTCCAGCCAAGCTTTGAGGACGTGTTTAATATTCTATCCCAAGTCCCACAAGATAAACTCCTGAGCCTCAAACACAAACTGAAGCACCTGATACCTGGGCCCAGCAGCAAGTTACTGCAAGCCATGGTCTTGCTTAGTCTGGGGCAAGACACGGATGCAAGGATTTGCTTGGATGCCTTGAGGGATAACCCAGCAGCCCAGTATGTCCATCAGACCAAACTGGGTGCTGCAGGAACGCAGGAGGATGGGGAGGATGTGCAGCCTCCCCAGCTGGATGCAGGTGCCATGGCACTTCTGGCAGAGGTGTACAAAGTGTTGGCACAGGAAAAGCTGTGCAGTCCCGAGGCCTGGGCCAAAGCCTGCCAGGCTGCCACCAAAGCCTGCCAGGACACTCAGCAGGGAATGCTCAACAACATCCCACCTGAGGACCAAGACAAACAGGGCTTTGCTCCCAGCATGGGCCCAAGTGACAGATTTTGGACGCTGAGATCCAATGAGGACACGGGATTTCTCCGTGGGGGCAGCTCCGACTACGTGGTGAGAAGTTCTCCGGTGCCGATCGGAGGAAACTCCGAGCTCTCGGCCCCGCGGACCTTGTGCTCCACGGGGAGCTGCTCCCTCCCCAGCTGTTTGGAGGTCAGTGCATCGCCAACAGTTGTTTGCCACAGCCATCCCTCTCCCCCCGAGGGTGTCCCCCAGCCCAGCAGTGCTGGACACCCCGATGGGGACACGCAGAGCCCTCAGGAGTCCAGCTGGACCAGCAGCCCCAGCTCCCACCCCGGCCAGGACACAGGTGGCCAAGTGCCCCGGCCAGAGGAGGTTCTGCAGGGCAGTTCCTGCCCCTCAGTGCTCCCTGTTCCCTCAGAGGGGGCTGTGATCCAGCCTGTCCAGAGCAGTGATATTCCCAGCACAGTGACAGAACCTCCTGCTCCAAGAGAAAACATGGATGAAAAGCAGGATGAGAAGCAATTACCTACTGGTCTTCCTGACCCAGGAGCTGCAGTGGGGACTGATCCTGCTCACATATCCATGGGGGACTCTGATATTCCAGCAGGCATTCCCTGTAACTCTACATCTGCTTCTATTTCAACCTGTTCCCTTCCTCCTCCTCCAACTTGCTCCTTCTCCTCAACCTTTCCTCCTTCTCTTCAGGAATCTCCTTCCAACTTAAATCCCCCTCCCCTGCGCTCATCCCCCTCTCCAGCCTGGCCTCCTCCTCCTCTCCCAGCCATGGACCCAGAGTCCCTGTCAGAGCCAGATGGTGGCAAGTTCTTCACGTTTGTTGTCCTGCATGCCAGTGAAGATGAGGTTGTTGCCCAGCGGGTCAAGAACCGGCTGGAGAGCATGGGGGTGTCCAATGGGGCCACGCTCTGCGAGGATTTCTCCGTTGCCGGACGCAGCCGCATGGGGGGCTTCCTGGAGGCGATGGAAAACTCTGCCTTCATGATCCTCCTGCTGACCAAGAACTTCATCTGCAACCTGTGTCTGTTCCAGACAGACACTGCCCTGATGCAGTCCATCCAGGACCCAGCCAAGCACTACTCAGTCATCCCGTTTTTACCCAAGGAGAACGCCCTGGAGCAGGGTCAGATCCCCAGGATGCTCAGCGCGCTGGTGATCCTGGATGAGAGCTCTCCTCTGTTCTCCAGGGTTGTGAGCAACACTTTCAACCCCAAGAAGATCAGCCAGAAGAAAGCCATGTGGGAGCAGATGCAGAGAAGGAAACTCCAGCTGTGTTGGGAATGGCAGCAGGCCCAGCAGAACTTGGCTGCCCTGAGCCTTGGCCGCCCGTCCCAGGTGCTTCCAGCAGCGACACAGCCGTGGCCACCAGAGCCATCCCCCCAACAGTGGTGTCCCCCCAACAACCCCACGCTCCCTCCCTTTGCTGGGCACCCCCCACCTGCTCAGATGGGTCCCCCCAATTCCCACTCACTGCTCCCACCAGGCCACTACAACATCATGCCAGGCCCGGGAGGGATCGTGATCCAGAACGCGCGGATGGTTCAGATCGGGGACCACAACACGATGCAGGTGGAAACTGTCCCCCCTGGGCCACAGGACAGCGAGGGACAAACCAGGCACCATGTCTGATCAGGGTCAGAGGCAAAACTAATTTCAAATCCTAGATTATTGTGATTCTGCTGGGACTGGGACTAATCTCATTTCTCTGGGGGTCAAGGGTGCCACTTCCCTGAAGCCCAGAGGAAAATTCCTGATTTTACGTTGGACCTCCTGGGACTGTTTGCCCTGTGATTATTTTTGAGTTACTGAGAAAACTATTTTCCTGATTTTCTGGGGCTACTTGAAGATTTTATAAATAAATTTCAATGGATTTATTTGTGTTTCTCCAGTTCTTTCCTGCAGAATTAGAAAAGGGGCAGTCAGGGATACAGGAAAAACTGTTCTGCATGTCAGGTGGAAAGGGCTGGGAGATGGCACTGAGCAAATCATTTGAGGGACAATCTTCAGGGATTGGGGAGTCACTCTGGGGAGTCACTCTGCCCTCCTGCCAAGGTGCTGAGCACCACAAGGTCCCACTATTTTCTTCCAGCGGTCCCCACTCCCCTCACATCAGCCCCAGGAAGGTTCTGGAAAGCAGCTTCAGCAACTCCAGAGAGGCTGCAGGACTCTGGGCTGAGGCACCAGAGATCCCTGTTCCCAGTTCCCCTCTGAACTAGATACAGAAGGTTTTGGTTGTGAAAGACAAAATTCCCAGGAGTGGTTTTGTATTTAAGAAAACCTACAGAGCTGAGGTTACACATCAGGTATAAGAATCTTTACAGCAAAGCTGTGCTTGGGGAAAAAATGCTTAATGAAAGTGGGATGAGAGGGGGAAGCACAAAGTCCAGGGAGGCAGAAGCCAAGTGTCCACTCCTCCATTCTTACCCCCTGTACCAGGCTGGAGGTGGGACCAGGCCCTGTCAGACTGGCTGTTGTAAAATGTTCCCTGCTGAGATTATCCCACCTATTTCTGTTACTGCCTTTGAGGAAAAGGTGGGATGGAAAAGCAAAAGCACTGAGCAGAGCAATGCAGGGGGCTGGAGAGAGCAGGGGATGAGGGGTGGGAGGGTGTTCTGCAGGACCTGGGTGAGGGATGTACCAGGCAGGTGCCTACTGAGCTTTAACACCAGGAGGGCACCTGGAGCAAAGCCTCAGATCCCTCCCTCTTCCTCCAGCGTTCCAGGCACAGCCATTTTCCTGATCGTCAGCAGAGGTCACCCCAAAGCCACCGAGTGACTGGGAAAGGGGCTGTTCCCTGGGTGGAGCAGAGCCCAGAGCCAGCTCACCCTGTGACTGGAGCAGGGCAGGGCTCACCTGACTCCTCACCCGACTCCTCCCACCCAATTCCTGCCCCTCGGGGGAGCTGAGGAGCCACATCCATGTTAAAGTGGATCCCGAGGGCCACTGTGATCGACAGAGGGAGGTGATGCCAGTCCAGGTGTTGGTGTTTCTGCAGGGGGGTGTGTGCTGCTGTCACTCCAGGTCTGGCCCAGCATGTTCCAAGCCCAGAGCAGCCGAAGCTCAGGACCCCACCAAACCATCCTGGACCTGGGACTGCCCAAGCTGGGCCCTCTCAGGGCCTAATTCTGGACTGTACTGCTTGTCCAAAAACCATGGAAGCCTCACGACCAAGCCCTGTATGAGACACTAAGGCCTCAGAGAAGACTCTGACTGACATTATGCCCTGCTCAGGGAGCACTGAGCTCTACAGTGTCCAGGTTTCTCTCTCCCTCTCTGGCTCTACCTCAGGCTCCCTGTGCACCAGCATCTCCTCCCAGACAAGGCCCAGCCTAGAGACAGAGCTGACACTGAGACAGGAACCCCCAGCATGGAGAACAGGAATCTCCTCAGCTCTGGCTCCTCTGAGGACACCAAGGACCAGCACGAAGGAGAACGGGCCTCTCTTCCCACCCTGTGTGGAGAGCTGCAACTGCTGCCTCTTCATTTTCCAGCAGCTTGTGTCCCTCAGGATGTCTGCAGGGGGATCCTGGAGAACCTGGGCACTGCCTGAGCTCCAGGGCAAGCTCTGAGCTGGAGAGTGTCCCTGCTCTTTAACTGCACCAAAGCAGTGGCTGTTACAGTTCTGCATTTAAATCCCACTGAATTTCCTCCTTGGAGGCCACAGGTCCTTTCTCATGGATCTGTCCACAGGTTTGTCTTCTTCCTTCCCTCTCCAAGGAGGTTCAGCTCCTCCTGGACCTCCTTAGTTCCAGCCCAAGCCATCAGTTCCTGGCCAAACCAAACTCTTCCCTCCTGTGCAGCACAAGAACCACAGACCAGCCCTGGTGTTTAGAAGATGCCACCAACTGTTGGCTCCCAGCTTTCAACCTGTTTGGATTTCAACTCTGCAGGACCCAGTGACAACAGATTAACTCATCTACTCTTTCCAGAGCCTGCTGGAATCCTCCAAGTGCTCAAATTCCTTTTATTTCTCTATTTTCTGTTAAGTAGGTGTTGTGTTAATGCAACTCATGCCTCCCTGCAGTTGGTGCAGGACAGTTCCTCCCCTCAGCAGAACACACACATCCCTCTTTCCCCAGCTCCTCTCCTGCTATAAATAAACATCACACGGAATTAGGCAACTGGAAGCTGCTCCAGCTTGTAAACAACCTCAGCACAGCCTCATCCAGTGTGCCTGGATCACAGACAGGGAGAGGGGAGGATGTGTGGGGTACAGCAGCCACCCCAGTGGAACAAAACTCTTCTCTGTCCAACATAATTAACAAAATAATCCCTGAAACACTGCCCTGCTCCCCACAACTCCACGTTTTGCCCCACATGGAGCTGGCCCAGACAACACCTACAATAAATGAGGCCTGTTCAGTGTGATTACCCCTGAATCATGCAGTGAGTTCTCCCACCCTGTAATTACTATCAACCTTCAATTGCTGGGCCCTCTGTGTAATTACACATGATTTATGTGTTAAAAATAATAATAAAAAAAACCCCAAACCAAAACAAAAAAAGCTTTTTCTACCACACAAAATATTCTCCTCCTTGGGGCTGTTGCACCTGACTGGATCCCCAAGCTCCCTGACCACAAGATCCCAGCTCCAGGGTGGCTTCTGCATGGAATAATTCCCTTCCCATCTCTCTGCTCCCAGATGGAATTGCACTGATCAGCCACTGCCTCTGTCCTGAGGCCACCTGGCTCCCTGTACCTGCCTGGCCCCTGCTCTCCCACACACCTGAAGATCACCTGGAGCACAGGAGGAATATCTGGATGGGAGAAGCCCTTCCCACAGATTTGCAGACACTGGGGAAGGCTAAAGCATTTTTGGAAACCCAGATCCTTGTGTGGAACTAACTCCAGTACCTTTAATCCCTCTGGTTTTGCCCTCCCACCAACAGATTTGGGGTTGAAAAATATCAATTGATAACAAAAATTCTGCTTGCTGTGCCCACTGTCCCAGGTGTGTAAGGCAGGCAACACCTGAGTCAACACAGATCCTTCCACACTCTTTCATTTCCATCAAAATACAAGGCAAAAATATATAAGGAAAGGTGTCATTTCAGTGTCAGTGTTATCCTTTTCCAGGGGAAACATTTGCCACTGCAGCACAGATTAGTTTTCTCCCAGGAGTAGCAACGAATCCATCACACCTGTTGATTGCAAACACCCCATATTTCCATACCCACAGTGTCCCATCCCTGGGGAAACAAGCTGGAAATAGAGGCTTCCCAGGAAGAAGTCCAAGGCACTTGCATTCTAGCAGCCATTTTTTTTGTTTTATTATTTAAAGTTAAGAGCGCTCATCAGCTCACAAAGGAAACAAATCCCATTCCTGCAGTTTAGGTCAGGTTTCAGCCAAAAAAGAAAAAACAAAACAAAACAAAACAAAACAACAAAAATAGAAGGCAGCTAAACTAACTCTGCACTTTACAGCTCAATTCAAGTTAAACCTCCTTGCTTTATAAATAAATGTTATAGTTAACACTGCAAAAATGTAATGGCAGCTCTACAATATCTTTAAGGGGCAGAGAGCATTGGTTATTGAGGCTGATAAATACAAGTAGAGAAGCTTCAGTAGCACATAGAGCACGGGTGGTGCCAGGGGTCTGCTCTCCCAAAAGTGGGACCTTTCCCAAAGCTCCAAGGCAGCTGCTTCTCCCCCTCCCCAGCTGTGCTTCCCACCCTGCTCAGGGCCAAGAAATGAGCCACAGGCTGCCCAAGCCCTGTCACCCCCCCCTGCACGAGGACAAACCACTGGAAACTTGTTTGTTTTCCACCACAGAGGGTTCTGCTCGTGGAGGCAAAAACCTGCCCTAAAAGCCTTAAAAACCAAGGTGTGTGCAGATCCTAATTCAAGGAAGGAGCTTGTCCAAACAGCAGCCAGGTGAGACTTCAAATTCCACCTCTGAAGTAGCACCATCCTCAGAAAAGTTGAGAAAAAAAAACAAACAAAACAAAACAAAAAAAGAATCAAAAGCCCAAACCAGCTGCTAAGAACCCACTGCACGGAGGTTTAAGTCATGGGATAATTAACAGAGGCCAAGGAGATGAGACTAAAACCTCCAAAGGACAAGGAGGTACCTTAAACTTTCATTTGTTTCTTCTTCCTCCAGCTCACCCTGGTGCAAACATGGCACAAACACTCACTTGCTTAAATAACCCCCCCAGGCATCCTCACACTACAGGTACCTCCTGCCCTACAGGGCTTCCTACAGCCTCAGAAATGGTTCAGACTTTGCTGTTATGGCTCCAAAACCTGGCCACATCCACCCTCACAGCTCAGTCCCTGCTGACCCCTGGAGCTAAAGCACTTCCACACTGGGAATGGAGCACACAGGGGTGGAATGGGCGAGCCAAGGGCCTGAACATCACGTGTTTCAACTTGGGTTTTAAAGTAAGTTTTTCCTCCCCATTCATAAACCCCGAGATCTATGGATGAAACTGTATAACCAGAACTGACCTTCCTCTATCTTACAGGACTGGAGAAGTCTTGCAGCATAGATAGGGCCTGGCTCTACGAGAGAAAAAACATCCCAGCTTTATGCACAATCATGGACATCTCAGGCCTTAAAACACCATTTGGCCAACCAAGAGAGGGAAAAATACCCCATCCTCAGCACACCCAGCCCTGTGCCATGCAAGGAACTCCCTCAGCAGAGCACGAGCCCCTCAGCTGCTGGACTTGTGCTGTCCCAAATCTGACAAGAGGGAGGGGAAGGAATTAGTTGGAAGGTGTTTTATTCCTCACTTGCTTTCTGTGTGTTGGATGTGTGGGCTGGGGAGGGCCAGAGCACGTGGGGGGTGTGTAGCTGCTCCAAAGCTGAACACTGAGTTAATCCAGCACTAATGGGAGAGGCAGCAAGTCCCAGGGAATCTCCATTCTCCCTCCTTCTCAGGACAAGATGGCAAAGGGCAGGGGCTGTGCCCTTCTGTGGGCACAGCGCACTGGAGAGAGCTGGTACCTGAAGGTGACAACAGCCATGAGCTCTCGAGCCTCCTCCTCCCTGCCCTGACTCGCCAGCTTTGTGGTGACAGATGGGGACAAAGCTCAGCACCCAGCACCCAGCTGAGGACAGCCCGAGACCTCCAGCTGCACAACCTCCATGGGGTGGGACAGGCGAGGGAAAGGCTGGGGGACATCAACTCTCGTGCCCTAGTGCAGCTCAATGAAGGCTTCCAGCTCCTCGGGGATGAACCCCTTGTAGGGAATCTTGTGCTTGTCCAGGGCTCGAGCAGCAAGGCACTGGAGGGTGATGTAGTTGAAGGGCTGCATCGTGCTCTTGGTGAGCAGCTTCTCGTCCAGCAGCTCGTAGGCCGTCTGCTTGAAGGCGTTGGTGGCATCCATGTGCGCCCCGGCCTCCATCAGGGCCCTCATGATGAGCGGGCAGTTGTTGCGGGCGGCGACGTGCAGGGGGGTGTTGTTGTCGTAGTCGCGGCTGTCCGGGTCGGCCCCGCACTCCAGGAGCAAGTTCACCACGTGGAGCGACGGGAATTTGCCCACGGGATAACGCCCCACCGTCGTGGTGTCCTTGTCCACGGCCATGTGCAGGAGGGTGAAGCCGTTCTTGGCCCGGGGGCTGCACTTGAGCAGGCGGTAGATGGTCTGGCGCTTCTGGTGCTCCTGCTCCGGGGTGCACTCCACCTTCTCCAGCAGGAACACCAGGTGTAGGATGATGGCCAACGTCTTGGTGAACTGCACCGAGTCGGCCACGGGGTCCTTGCCGTGCACCAGGGCCCTCTCCACCTCCCGCACCCCTTTGCTCAGCACCCCGATGAGGTCGGAGAAGCCCAGGTGGGTGGCTAAAGCGCCTTTGGAGCGGTCCTGGAGCACGTAGGAGTAAAGCTCGGCAAAGGAAAGGAAGCTGCTGGCAGTCATGGGGCTGAGAGGCTCCAGGTTGCCTTGCTGCATGTCCAGGGCGTACTTCCACAGGTTGATGCAGCGCTCGAAGTTGCCGGAGTCGGCGTAGACGGCGCCGCGGTAGCGGATGTAGTAGGAAGTGTCGGGGTGGGAAGGGCCCAGGATGCGCTCCCGGATCAGCAGCGCCTGCATCCGCATCTCGTCGGGATCCGTGATCAGGGCCTCCAGTTCCTCCAGAGAATTCACCTCCCGGGAATAGTCATAGGCCAGCACCAGCTGCCGGGGCTCGGGTTTGGGCAGGTACTTCCCGCCCTCGCAGCGCAGCTCCATCGCCCTCCGCCAGTACTTGTGGGCTCCCAGGAGGTCACGTTTCTTGTCCACAAACGTGGCACCCAGCAGCTCCAGCGCTTCCACAGCCGCCTCTCGAGTGCAGAACACGGTCGGGACCTCGTCCTGGCTGGAAGCCGAGGCACCACATCCCTCACCCCCCTCTTCCTGGCAGCCCTGAGTCTCCTTGCCGGCGCTGCAGCCCCTCTGATGGCTCCCACCCGAGGCGCAGGTCCCGCTCTGGCTCCCCGCAGCCTCCTCCTGCTGCAGCCCCCCCTGGATGAGGTACTCCACGATGTTGGTGTGGCCGGTGACGCTGGCGGCGAGCAGGGGCGTCATTCCATAGCCGTCCTTCTCCATGCGGGCCTTGGAGCGGAGCAGGAGCTGCAGGATCTCCAGGCTGCCGGACTCGGCGCAGTCGTGCAGGGCCGTGTTCCCCTTCACGCTGCGCCGGTTCACGTCGGCCCCTTTCTCCAGCAAGTAGCGGGCGATCTCCCGGTGCCCTTTGTAGCACGAAATCATCAGGCACGTGTGCCCGTGCCGGTTGGCCACCTCCAGGTCGGCCCCGCGCTCGCCCACCAGGTACCGCACGATCTCCAGGTGCCCATCGAAGCAGGCGGCCCGCAGCGGGGTGGAGTTGGTCAGCGTGGTCTGGTTCACCGAGGCGCCGTGGTCCAGGAGGCTCCGCACCACCCCCAGGTGCCCGGCGGCCGAGGCCGCCCACAGCGGCGGGGCCCCCTCGATGGTCTCGCCGTCGAAGCTGACGGAGCCGCCCTCCTCCACGCGGGCCCCGCAGTGATCCAGCAGGTACTCCACCACCTCCAGGTGCCCGTGCCGCGCCGCGATCAGCAGCGGGGTGCTGCCCGCCCCGGGGCCGCCGCCGCCGCCCGGCCCCGCCGTCAGCGCCTCCAGCTCCTCACGGCTGCGGCTGCCCAGGAGCTTCTGCAGCAGCTTCAGCTTCCCGTCGCGGGCCGCGTTGTACACGGCCGTGCGCAGGTCCATGGCGCCGGGGGCCGCGTCCTGGCCATGGACCGGCGGCTCCGGCGCGGCCCCAGCGCGGGGCGGGCGGGGGGCGACGAGACCCCCCTGCCCTCAGCGCGGCGGGACCTTCACCGCCCGGGCCCGACCGCCATCTCAGGCTGCGCCAAGGAACAAAATGGCGCCTCGCGGGGCGGGGCGCGCCGCGCGGAGGATGATGGGAAATGTAGTCCCTCGAAAGGCGCGTCCCGCACCGTCCAGCGCAGCGCGCACTCGGTTTCCCAGCAGGCAGCACGGGAGCGGGCAGTGGGCAGGGCGCGCAACCCGCCTCGCAGGAGGCATGCTGGGAGTTGTAGTTCCAGTACCCCCAACAGCCTGCGCCGCCAAGCGGGCCGTGCCGGAGCTCGGACTACATTTCCCAGCGTGCCTCGCGCGGGCCGATCCGTGAGGAGCGGGTGCCGTACAAATGTGTTTATAATTCACAGCGTGTGTACGTTTAATGCCGATTTTATTTATATTAAATTCCTTGATGTAGTTGAACTTCAAGACACAGCGGCTTCCACAGCGTTAATCTAACGTGGTTTAATTGCAGGGAACCATTTGTGTTCTGTGGGATCAGAATGTCCTGAGCTGGAACGGGAGCGGACCCTCAGGGATCATCCAGTGCGACCCCGTTGCTGCGACAGATCTGATGGAGCGTTTTAAGGTGCAACTTTCTGCTTTGGAGGTGGCAAAGCCTCGTCTCCAACAGCAAACACAGATTTGTTCCCTCAAATCCCCTCCACAGGACGTTATGTCCAGTTCCCTCCATCCCTGAGTGACAATACCTGCCTGGAGCGACGGAAAACACTCGAGCAATAAATAGCCCGGCTTAGATGAGCAAAGCTTTACTCACCAGAGCCTATTTTTAGGGCATAAGTTGAGTTTAAGTGTCTCTAATCTTTATACAGGGAATTGGCATGGGGTTTCTCCCGCTGCATTTTATTTATAGCTGTTTTTCTCCTTTCCGGGAAAATAAGATTAGTCTCATTATTTCCATTATTATTATTCCGTCTGTCATGATTATTATTCAGTCCATCCACCCATTTTAGGTCTTGTCTGGAATTACTGTGGATTATCCCGCTAATGCCTGTTGCCTTCGCACTGAATATCACTTTTGTTGCTAAGAAACTGCTTTTGCATAACAGGCACTGTTGAGCCCAGTTTTCACTTCAGCAGCTGCTAAAAAGTCACCGGGGAGCAGCAGGTGCTCCTGGGAGCCAGAGCTGGAGTGTCCGTGGCAGAATTCCCACACGAGGTCTGAGTGTGCTCAGGGATTCTTCCCTGGGAGGGTGGGGAGGCCCTGGCACAGGTTGCCCAGAGAACCTGTGGCTGCCCCATCCCTGGAAGTGTCCAAGGCCGGGTTGGAGCAACCTGGGATGGTGGAAGGTGTCCCTGCCCATGCCACAGGGTGGGACTGGATGAGCTATAAGGTCCTTTCCAAACCAAATCATTCCATGGTTCTGTGGTTCAGTGACACCTCCAGTATGTCTGTGCTGTGCAAGGGCAGCTTCCTGCACAATGGGATAGGAGGAATCACAGGATCATTTAGGTTGGAAAAGCCCTCCAGGATCGAGTCCAACCATTCCTCCAGCACTGCCAAGGCCACCACTAACCCGTGTCCCCAGGTGCCACATCCACACGGCTTTTAAATCCCTCCAGGAATGGGGACTCCACCACTGCCCTGGGCAGCCCCTTCCAGAGCTTAACAACTCTTTCAGTGAAGAAATATTCCCTAATATCCAACCTAAACCTCCCCTGGCACAACTTGAGGCCGTTTCCTCTCATCCTGCCCCTTGTTCCCTGGGAGCAGAGCCTGACCCCCCTCCTGACTCCCTCCTCCTGTCAGGGAGTTGCAGAGAGGGAAAAGGTCCCCTCTGAGCCTCCTTTTCTCCAGGCTGAGCCCCCCCAGCTCCCTCAGCCACTCCTCTGTGTGTGCTGGAATACCTGGGATCATTCCCTGTCCCTCTGGGGTGCGAATACACAACTCTGGGCACAAATTCATTGTGTTTTCACACCTAAACAGTGGTTTGGTCACACTGGGGCCATTTTACACTGCCCTGAGAACCTTGCTGTGTGTCTGTGTGCAGCAGCTCCCTGGGTGTGACTATCCAAGCTGTCCCTCTGTCCCCACTGGGAACATCCACGTGCAAACCCCCCCCCAGCTTTGAGGCTGTTTGTGCTGCAGGTCAAGGCACAGACACGGTGACATTTCCTCTCCCCGCTGGCTCCTCGTGTTGCCATGGTGACCAGATGCACTCGCTCTTTTATCTGAAGTATCTATTAACCAAAGCTTCCTATTAATTTCCCCTCCATAGAATCCATTAGGGATTCACCTGAGCACCACGAAGGCTTTTTAGGTCCCAAATCTACCTCAGAACCTGCCCCTCGTTCTGGGGTGGGCTCAGAGTGGCTTAAAGTGCAGCTGATGGAAATGTTTTTTTCCATCAATAAATTGCTTAGTAATGAGGGAATAAAGAGCATGAGGAGAAGGGTCACAAAAGCCTCTCCCTGTGGATCTGTGACTATGGAATGTGCTGGAGCCTCAGGACCTTGGTCCCAGCCCAGGTGTACCTGGAGAATTCTGTCTGAGGAGTCAAAGAGAGTTGGAGGTGGGGGTGGAGGAGCTGTACCTGCATCACCCTCAAAGGTCTGGGGCAGGATTTTGACTGTGGCAAAAAACAGAGTCATTTTGTCACTTTGGTTCTCCTTTGTCCTTTGGCTTCTCTTGGTGAGGTCACCACCAGAAGTGTCCCAAACCAGGGCACCAGGGGGATGGAGACATCACACAGGATCAGAACCACGGAATCACAGAATGGATTGGGTTGGAAAGGACCTTAGAGCCCATCCAGTTCCCTCCCCTGCCATGGGCAGGGACACCTCCCACTAGCCCAGGTTGCTCCAACCTGGCCTTGGACACTTCCAGGGATCCAGGGGCAGCCACAGCTTCTCTGGGCAACCTGTGCCAGGGCCCCCCCACCCTCACAGCCAGGAATTCCTTCCCAATATCCCATCTAAATTTCCCCTCTTTCACTTTGAAGCCATTCCCTGTGTCCTGTCCCTCCATCCCTTGTCCCAGGTCCCTCTCCAGCTCTCCTGGAGCCCCTTTAGGCCCTGGAAGGGGCTCTCAGGCCTCCCTGGAGCCTTCCCTTCTCCAGGTGAACCCCCCCAGCGCTCCCAGCCTGTGTCCCAAAGCTGGAGGGTGTCTGCTGAACCAGACCAGCAGCAGTGCTGCAGCTCCCACTTCCACTGGCACAACAACTGGGAATAAAGGATCAGTAACACCCATCTGAGAGTGTCTCAAAGCTACCACGTCCCTCCTGTACAGCCCACAGCCCCCACTGGGCCCCAGGGAACCCGAAGAGTTTGTGGGGTGACACACACAGAGCCCCAAACCACAGTTCTGGGAATAGAGAGGGGGGAGTTAAATACCCAGGGGAGGAAGAGCAGGTAAAAAATGAGCCGTTTTGACAGGGCTGCCAGACTGTGTGGCAGGAGGGTTAATTTTTTTTGAAGCTGCCATTTCATATTCCCTTTCAGACAAGCTGAATTACACGGTGCTGGCTTCTCCAGGAGTAGCATAATTTTCCTCATGGAAATAATGACAGGGTACTTAAAAAGCAAGTGAATGGATGGCTAAAGTACTGGGCAGAGACTTCTGAAATCCAGGCTGAGCCCTCACCTTTGCTAGAGGCTTCTTTGGTGACCTTGGGCCAGTCACTTAATCTTCCTGTGTCTCAATTCCCTGCCAATAACATGGCAATAATAACTGTTCTTGCTCTGTCTGGCTTATTTAGGCTGCAAACTCAGAATTTACAGCTTGTGTTTTCTCTTCTTTGAGGGCAACTGAAGCCAAAGAGCTTCAATCCGTGCTGAGGAGTCTGGGACACCACAAAATGCAACATGGATAACAAATAAAGGGCTGGGATATGTGATTGGGAACATTCTTACACGAGAATTCCTAAAGCATTGTTCCCCATCGCTTCCCTCAAAATGTGGAGGAGTTTAGAACTGTGCTAAGAGTTCCAAAAGCATCGAAATAATTTAGGAACAGAGGCCAGGCCGATTTATTGAATCCCTGAGTTACTTCTGAAAGGGTGAGTGGGTAATTTAGACACCTGCAGAATTTCCTGCGAGGTCTTTGTGCTCAGTCTGTGGCTGCAGCAGCTCCTTGGGGTTTTTTTTTCAGTTTAAGCTGAGGTTTGCAGGCAGCTGTGTACCCAGGTTTTATCCATCTCTTCAGCTTTTAGAGGTTTGTGTGATTTCCAGAAGCTGAGGAAAGATGGTTCCTCGCTACGAGAGCCAATGAAGATGAGATTTTCTCTATAGTTGAGCAATTTGCTGTACAAAGGGAACAATTCTAAAAATAGGGAGAAATGGCACCATGACATTAAGAGGAACGATGACCCAATCCCCAACTTGCTGCAGGGGCTTTTGTCCTATAACTGCCTTCCCCATTAGGGCTGTGATGACATTATTTGCTGTGGTTATGTGGGGCACGAGGCCACGGGTACCTGGAAGGGAGGATTTTGATCAGAACACACCAGAGAGGCTTGTTGGGGAACACTAAATCAGTGGAGTTTCATTTACATCAGACACCAGCCCAGCCATTCCAGCATTAATGGCTGCACTACTGCCCTCGGAATTTGGTGTGGATTTAATCTGTCAGTGGGGGAGTAAAAGGGAGGGGGAGAGTGAGATGGTCTGGCTTATGAAATGTGGATCTTTTCTTTCAGGCACCCTCAAAGGACAGGGATTTGTACTGGTTTAAAATTCTTTTGGCAAGAGATTTGTGGCTGCCCCATCCCTGGAAGTGTCCAAGGCCAGGTTGGAGCAACCTGGGATAGTGGAAGGTGTCCCTGCCCATGGCAGGGGGTGGACTGGATCACCTTTAAGGTCTCTCCCAACCCAAATCATTTGGGGATTCTGGGATTCCAGGATTCCTAAATCACATATTCCATTGTACCAATGACGTGGGCAGTGCTGAGCATATCCTGGGTTGGTTAAAAAAAGAAAGTGCTCAACAGCACCAACAACCCAAATTATTAAAGACATTTCAGTACTTTTACCACTGGCTTCGGCAGGATTCAGGAGTTTCATTTTCACACCTGAATACCTTTGAGAATAGAGGCTCTGAGAGGTGTTGAAAATCTGTTCTTTTTATATTTTGAAGCCCTGCTGGAAGCAAAGGGCTCCACTCTCCAAACAACCCCTGCCAGGCATCGAGGTCCCAGCAGTGCCCGAGTGCCCAGCAGGGCCCTGCCCCTGCACTGGTGTGCTGGGGGGGCTTTCAGGGAGACACCTCCCTTCCTGACAGCTGATTTCCAGTGAAACTGTGTTGAAGGGAGGCAGGGGAGTGCCAGGTTTGGGGGGCTGCAGGATGAGCTTGGTTCTTCTTGGGTGCATCTCCCTTTGCTTCTCTCAGAGCCCAGACTTGCTTGACTTTAAGGGGATGGGATGAGGAGCAGAACAAGGCACGACATGACCTGCAAAGCACTTCCAGACACAGCCAGCTCTCAGGTCCAGGGCTCCTGGGGTCTCTGGGCCGTGGCAGCCTGGGCTGTATGGCAGGCTATGATTTGTTGTCACCTTTATAAACAGAACAACAAAATCACTAGTCTTCCACACAGAGCCAGACCAGGAGAGCAGCGCTCCCTCCTCAGGGATGTCCTCCTGCACGTCTTCTCCTGCTTTCCTTCCTCAGTTTTATCAGCCTTTAATTCTTGTTCTTGCCTCTCCTTTCAGGGATGGATGCTGCTCTTTGCAGAGTTCCTCATGAGACCGTGGCAAACCTCCCTGCAATCATCTCTCCAATTTGTGGCTGTTCCCGTGAGTTTCTGCTCCATTTTCTCACTCCCGGAGGCTCTACAGGGACATCAGGGCTCAGCAGGGGCTCCTCTTTCCTTACCCTGTGATAAAACTTCTCCAGGAGTGCTCTGTCAACCTGTCTGTCTCCTGGTTATATTTCAGTTGACTAAAATAAGCAAATGCAATGTATACTGGGGAACGCTGGAGGAAAGGACTCAGCAAAGGAAAAGATAATGATAGTGCTGAGTTTCCTGGAATCCCACTGAGAGGCTGATTTAAGCAAGAAAAACAAACCCTTTTTGCTGTTTCCTTTCCCTGGATTTGTTGATGAGCAATCTTTAGTTCACCCCAGGTCCAGCTCTGCTTCCACTCCCCAGCTTTTCTCTGCTAATACCTCGCATATGGCACGGATCAGGTGTGAAAGGACAATGCTGGCTCACATCCATGGAAAGGATTGGACTTTATTCCCTGTCTGAGTGAGGCTTACTTACCTCAGCCACTGAAACCAGGCAGGGAACAGCATCCTTCCCACCTTCACCAAGCCTGTTAGATGTACTTCTGTAAGCAGGTGGCACAAAAAAAAAAAATGAAAGGGAAAGAAACAAAAACTATCCCTCAGGAGCTGCTGCTCCTTTCGTGGGAGGAGAAAGAGTGTGGAGCAACAGGAGAGGGTTTCCTGCTGCTGACAGGGGTTGTGCCCTGTGTGAGCTCACAGAGAGCAGCCCCATCCCTCCCTTCCTCCCTCCCTTTTTTTCTTTAACATATGTGCTTTCTATGGGCACTTTAATCAAACTCCAGATGGGTTGTTTCAGTCAGGGGATTTGTGCTGCTCTGGAGATAAGAGCCCTTTGTGCTGGCCTAGGTAGCAAGAGTGTTTGTGATAACTGGAGCTGATACCAGGAGATGTCCAGGTGGTCTTATTTAACAGGGAGCATTAGTGATACCACCATTGTCCAGGAAATCAGATAAAACTGGGTCCAGGTGTTACCCAACACCGTGTTTGTGTAAGGACAGTGCCAACTGCTGCCTGCACTGAGCCCCAGAGCAGCACTGCAGAGGGGGGTGTTCTTGTACAGGATCCCCATCACCCCCAAACTTCTCAGGGTGCACCACTGAAAGGGAAAAATTTAACCAGGAGTTGGACTTGGATGATCTTTGTGGGTCCCTTCCAACTCAGGATATTCCATGATCCCAATCTGAATATCAAGTGAGCTTCACACTGAATTTAAGATCACTCTTGGATGTCCCAAACTGAAGAATTTCACCTAAAACCATCACACATTTTCCTCTCTGCCCTCCCACAGACAGGTCTCTAACAAAAACATTTGGGGAGTGAGACGATTTAGAAATAAAAATTCAGGACAATTCACTCTTCTGCCCAGGCTAATTAGAAGAGAGGAGGAATTGTACAGATGGATGAACTGGAGAGAGAGGAGACACTTTGGGAAGTGCTAACCTGGACTGTAATTTCAGGTGACAAGGACACTTTTCAGTCCTCATTCTGGAGTGACACTGCACAGTGACACACCAGCTGCAGGAAGGGATTTACCACAAATCATTGCTAGAAAATCACGTAAAAATCAAGACAAAAGAAGTATGAGCGAGACCTGAACTCTTCTGCTGGTTTTACATGCAGCCATTCCCTTTTAAGAGCAGGGTATTTAGTAGGAAGCATAAATTCCAGGCTCAGAGTCGTGCAATGTCTAGACTCCAGCTCGTGGGATCTGTCTCCGTGGGGCCATATTTCTCACTGTGATATTTTTCAGGACACCTCTGCTTTGTCCCAGAGATTTCAGGGACGTGGAAGCTCCTGGCTCCTCGTACCAGTGGCAGCTGGGAGGCTGCTGGAGTTCCTTGGTGATTGTTTGTATGGATGGGAGCTCAACTTAGCTGCAGAACACGGGGGGAGAGGGGGGAGGGAAAAAGCCTGGTTGGAAGGAGCGGGGACTTTTGGCCCCCAGCTGTGCCAGAACAGGCTCATCACGGAGAGATCCCCAGCTGCACTTCCAGGCTGTAAATTAAACAAACAGTGTTTCCTCTAGACCAGACCACAGGGATGGCAGAGAGAACAATGTGGCCTTATTGCTGTTATTTCCTTTGGTTTCAATCTCTGTCCTCTGCCCCCACCTCCTCCCCAGACCCGTGGTGCCCACTTTACCCGATTTGCCATTTATTACACTGCTTTAAAGAGAGGCAGGGGGAAAAAGGCTCAGTGCAAATTATATTTTGAGCTGTTGTGCTTTGCCTCTTTGGTGGATAATAAATCTCTCTGGCAATGCTCCTCTGTATAGGATTTGTCATTAAATGCAATTAAACAAACCCTGCAGGTGTCCATGATCAGGCCTGCAGCAGCCCATTCACAACTGCAATGTTATTATCAGCCTGACAACAAAACACCAGATATTTCCTGAGCTCCTCTGATCGATGAGCTCGCCTGACTTGGAACTGGGAGGGAGGAGAAAAGGGGCTTCAGAGCGCTTCAAATGCTCTTTAGACTTATTGATGGAAAAGTCAAAAAGCTGCTCGGCAATCAGAGGGAAGGTGGAGAGAGAGAAAGGCAGAGGGACTGGAGGGCTGAGGGGGAAAAATGAGAGAGGAGTGTTTGGGAGTAAAAAGGTAGAAATGAGGCAAGCTATCACATGGTACCCACCTGCCCAATGAGCTGGCTAATGCACAAGACTAGGATTTAGGAGGCAAGGAGGGTATTTTAGGGATGATTCTTTGGCAGTTGGGCTTTTAGTGTTAAGTGAGTCATGCAGGCTCCCTCTGCAGTCAGCACAAATATTCCTCTCATCCTAAGGCAGGACTGGCAGGTTGACCTGTTGTCCAGGGATGTTTGCCAGCCTTCATAAATTGTAGCCAAATGGTTGGATCAGACACACAAATAATTGTAAATCCCACCTGGATTTACAATTCCCAAAGGAATTGGCTTTTTCAAGGCCGGGTTGGACGGGGCTTGGACCAACCTGATCTAGTGGAAGGTGTCCCTGGCCATGGCAGGGGGGTGGAATGAAAGGAGCTTTAAGGTCCTTTCCAAGCCAAACCATCCTGGGATTCTGTGGCTCTCTGAGTGTGTGTCCCTCTCCATCTCCCTTCCCACAGAGGCATGTCCTGGCACAGCCTTGGGAAGCTCACGCTCCAGAGGTGCTGCTGACAGGATTTGTCCAGAGCAGATGCAACAACATTCACACCTGAATTGTTGTGTGCCCTGACAATCAGGAACAGGGAGAAAGCTCCTGTGGTTTCTGTCAGCCATCCCAGGCAGCCTGTGGAGTGTGAAGGTCAGGGACTCACAGGGGACCGGCTGCTGCCGAATCCAGTGAGAGAGAAAAATTTGCCAACACCACTCAGATCCTTCTGCCTGACTTGTTTGCTCAGCTCAGCCTCGGGGTGCTCTTGGGATGAACCTCATTCCTCTCCTGCTCCCACCCCAGGAATCCTGGTTTAGCCCAGCTGGCTGCTGGGGCACACATGGAATTGCAGTGGCAAGGACAACACTTTTATTACTGTTCTGGTGCCACCAAAACCAAGGGATTTGGGGGTTGGATGAAGGGGTTAAATGAGTGGGTGTCTGTAGTGCACATGTAAAATGTGAGGGGTGATTGTTCTACCAAAAAAACCCTATGGAGGGGTCTTTGATTAAGATTTGGTAGCCTCATCTGTAGGACAAACAGCACAGGGCCCTGTTTGCTGCCATCCAAGATCACACTGTGATTGTGGCAGAAGGAGCCAGGAATTCTGTGATCAATCCATGGGTCTCAGGATGACCTTCTCCCTGGACACTGCAGCTGGATCACTCTGCAGTGTTGGTCTCTGGCTCCCTGATTCCAGGGCAGTCCAGATTCCACTCTGTATTCCCGCTTCACCTGCTGGGTTGTGCCATTAGCAAACCACCAGGTGATGATCTGGTGGCCCCAGTCAGCACTGGTGGGTTGAAGGTGCCAGAAGGGCTCTGTCCCTGTGGTACCACAGAATTTGGCCACCAAGTCTGGCTGTACAGTGTCAATTCACTGGCCACAGCAGTGAGGGTGCTCCTTGGGTCAGTGGGGGTCTGCAAGGGCATGGAAAAATCCACAGCTACCAAGTGTTGCTTATCACGGAATCCCAGAATGGTTTGGGTTGGGAGAGAACTTAGAGATCATCCAGTGCCACCCCCTGCCATGGGCAGGGACACCTTCCACTATTCCAGGTTGCTCCAACCTGGCCTTGGACACTTCCAGGGATGGGGCAGCCACAGCTTCTCTGGGCAACCTGTGCCAGGGCCTCCCCACCCTCCCAAGGAGGAATTCTTTCCCAGTATCCCATCTAACCCTGCCCTCTGGCAGTGGGAAGCCATTCCCTCTTGTCCTGTCCCTCCAGACCCTTGTAAAAATCCACAAACAAAAATTTATGAATAAATCCATTTTGGTTGGCTTCACCTGCAGACCTTGGGGACGTCTGAGGTGACGCTGGCTCAGAACATTTGGGAGCCACGGATGTAGGAATCCCAGCAGGTGTGGAACGTGGCATTGCCCCACTCCAGCCCCTTCCACCTCCCTCTACTCTCAGCCAGAAAGCCAGAAACACCTCTGATTCCCTGCCCTGGCTGCTGTAGGGTTTGCAGTGGGGGGCTCAGGCTGTCACAGAGGGATGTGCTCTCTCCCAGGGCAGAGGGACAAGCGCTGGCACATCCCTGTGCCAGCCCAGGAGCTGAGGGGGCTGCTAATGAGCGTCCCTGGGATGGCTCTGCAGCCACTGGTGTGAATGAGCTGGGGCTGCTCTGAGTCCTCGAGGACTTTGGTGGAACTCTGCTGATTTACACCACCAGAGCTGGGGCTGGAGGGGAAAACCCCCTGGAGTTTCCATCAGCGGTTGTGAGAGCGGGGAGGGAGCCTGGTGAGAGCTGAGGGGGCACAGGGAGCAAATCAAGGGCAGGATGGAAATGCACATCGGTTTGGATTGATTCAACAAACCAACAAACACTTTTTTTTTTTTCCCCCATCCCTTCTTTCCACCTCCCTTCCTCCCCACCTCCAGCAGCT